CCTATCATCCATCCTCCCTATGGCATTTGCTACTTGATTGACATGCAGGGCAGCCAGTCTGAGATCTCGTCTTTTCTGACACACGAGTCACCAAACATGCACAGTCAACAGCACGAGCTACTGCAAAACTCCAGTGAGCGAACTAACTTGTCAGCCTTCGAATTAATGTCTACTAAAGGGTATAAAATGAGTGGGGGAGCCGAATCAAGTAAGACACCGAAAACGTACCGAAAACATTCCATATGGAATGGGAGGACTTTTTTCGCTACCAATCTACTATTCCGAAGGAGCATGTGGAGCGGCACTTTCAGACTGTTCATAAAAACTACGACACTCATTCATACATTTATTTTGTGTGTGTGTGTGCGCGCGCGCGCGCGTAGGTCAATCATTTTGACTTCATCATTTGAAAAGTAGCTCGCAAGGCGAAGAAGTGTGGGCACCCCTAGTCTATAGGTTACTGAATGTGATAATACGAGCACAGTGGCTTCAGCTATGCCTGCTAACTAGCGCTTGCTAGCACGTTAGTAGGTAATCACATTATGAAAACATTGGAGCCCATTTGTAATTGGCATTACCTGGATAGACTGACCACATATTTGAAAACTAGATGGTTAAATCTTGCATTAAAACTATCAAAACCTAATAAAATGGCCTAATAATAACAGCCCTAAGATGAAAATTATAACAGCTTTGAGCCTGAGTAAGATATACCACAGATACAAAAAAAATAGTACAGTGTTAGCCTTTTTGATCAAAAAAAAAAGTATGTCCCAGCTTTTATTTTATTTCATAATAAATAAATGCTTTAGTGTGGTGCTTAAAGTTCTGTTCTGTGTGTGTGTGTACTGCAGATACCTGGTGGAACTGGGATGCATAAAACCACTGTGTGACCTGCTCACTCATTTGGACTCCAAAATAGTTCAGGTGGCTCTAAATGGCCTAGAGAACATCCTTCGCTTGGGAGAACTGGAGGCCAAGAGGGGAGGAGGCATCAATCCCTACTGTGCACTTATCGAAGAAGCCTATGGTATGTGTACACATTTTCAATGAAATGATTACATAACATTTCTCATTAGTAAATTTACCCTCCTGAACCAAACATTTGTTTGGCAATTAACATTAATTGGTTTGTAACCTTGCAGTGAAACACTAATCCAGAGCCACAGTAACATTCAGCATTACATTCATCTTCTCAGGTCTGGACAAGCTGGAGTTCCTGCAGAGCCATGAAAACCAGGAAATATATCAGAAAGCCTTTGACCTGATTGAGCGCTACTTCAACACCGAAGAAGAGGAGTCATCCCTGGCTCCAGCCGTCGATCTGCAGCAGCAGCAGTTCCTCTTCCAGCAGTGTGAGGCCCCGATGGAAGGCTTCCAGCTATAATGCAAACTCCTCCCTCGCCTTGTGCTCCACCTTCATCCTCACCTCTGCATATTCTCTACCTGTCTACCCACTGCCATGATGAAGGGCAGTGAACTCTCAGCCTACCCTCCATCTTCCCTTCTCAGTGTTGGAGAGATTAATAATTCAAACATTATCATGTTTATGAAAAATATTACAGAAGCACATGTGTGCATACGTCCAATGTGGGTCCAGTTCTGCAGTCTTGTCAGCCAGTTAGTAAAGGTTTCTCATCATCATTCTGTCTTGCGCTGAACTCACTTCTGCCCCCTAGTTCGTCAGTACCTGAGTCCCTCCAACCACTTCAGACCCTAGCAGCTCCCACTGGTAGACTGTTCATGTTACACCACCCGTCTTTCTGTTTGGATCCCTCTGCAGCTCAACCCAAATGAAAAGCATTTCCTGTAGGATTGGCGAACCCTGAGTCAGTGGGAGTTTTAGGACTGCACTGCTTGTTTGGTTGAATTGTCAATGACTCTCAAGACAGACAAACATGGCCATGATTTTTATCCCCCTCTCACACACACAAATAGGGAAGAAGGATTTAACCTAAACACTGGACTGACCATTAGACGCTGATCATGTTTGACTGTGGTCACTGGACTGAACTGCCCACATCAGGGCCACCACTCGGACTAATATGACCTCTACAAAAAGGCACTTAAATGACTGAAAAAATGGAGGTGCAAGCCCTTGTCTCCTCTCTCTGGCATTGGATAAGTCACCACAGATGGACAAATTGGGAACTTGACTGTGTTGCTGAGGGGTGGAGCTTGTCGTTGACAAACCAGGCTTCCTGCATTCCTCTATCCAGCAATGGGACTTTTCACCTACACAGGCTCCATCCTGAAGTGCTTAGACTGCCTCCTGCCTCTGGTGTGACGTGTAAACCCCATGGAATCATGGGAATTGGAGTCTTCCCTCGCACTGAGACAAATGGACAGACTTAGACAAGACAAAACAGACTATGTAACCCTGGAATCTGTCCAGTGGCAAATTTTATCTTACCATCATTTCTTTTTATTTGCAGCACTTTAGTTCAAGACTGATGTCTGGTCATCTAGGGTATACCATAGTTCCTACATTAACTATTTAATTGGTTGATGACATGGCTCTTCCCTCCTCAATGAAATGAGGTCTAAATAGGTGTGGTCTGTATTATCAGTCCGCTTTTGGTATGACTAGGATAACAATGTACGTCACTGTTTACCTTTCCCACAAATGACTCACACAGATTGTGGACTGAAACTGTTCACACACTAATTACAATCAGCACATCATTGTGACTCAGCAAAAACCTGCAAGAACTTTACCTGTGACAAAGGAAATCAGTAAGTTTTTGGAACAGTGGCTGTTTAGCTGTGTGCTCTCTAAAACATGGCTTTCCAATATATGTTCAGGTAGAATTTTGCATTTTGATCACACCAAATCATTGATGCATTGATCAGCTTTTTGGTTTGAAATCGGGCTTTTTTTTATATATAACAAAACATTATATTTGCAGTTAGTATCTGTCATGTTGCTGATGGTGCCATAATTCCAGCAAAAATCCAGATTAAAATTTGAAAATACTGGTGATCACCTTAGTTAGACTGAATGTTTGTTTACTAAGTCCTTCTTACATTACTCGTTTGTCAAAATCTCTGCAAGAGATGACCAGCTCTACATGTTCATTACTGTTTTTGTACAACTGTCCCATTGCTCCATTTGCATAAAAGCTGAACTACAGTGTATCTCAGTCTCATTGTAGATACTATACAACATGAGTAAGAATTTTCTTTATTCAAACTGTCATATTAAGAGCTAAAGGAATGGTAGGACTTTAATCTTCTTTTTAAGGTGATATCTAATGATTTTCATTATGGATTAATTAATCAGCAAACTATTTGATTGTTTGGTCTAAAAATGTCAAAATACTTCCAAGTCAGTTCAAAAATTTCCAGAATCTCAGGGTACATCATACAGGAGACTGGTTTTGTCCAAGCTAAATGTACAAAAATTGTACAGTTTACCAACATAATACATGACAAAATTGTGAATATTTACATTTTAGAAGGTGCAACATTTTCATTTTCTGCTTAAAAAAAAAATCATTTAAATGATCCAAATATCAAAATTGTTGATGAATTTTCTGTAGATTAGTCAACTTAATATTTCAGCTCTACTTCCTCTATTTCTGTGCCTCCTCTATGTGTCATGCATGTGTTGGGACACAATGGGAGAACCCCAGCTAACATTTACAATACTTACTATACACACTGAGAGGGATACACTGCCCATATCCTCAAATACTTAAGGAGGAAATAATCATTTTAGTTTGCCTTTGGATCTTCAGCTTTGGAGTTACAATTTATGAGTCACAAATAGCTCAGGTCAAGTCATACGCAACCTGTCTAGAAGCATTACTTTATTGACCTCTTTTTATGGTGCTCTCTTTATACAGTCACATTACTATGAACAAACAGGTCTAATCACAAGTTTCAAGACAGGACAGACCATCGTGCACATGGGTTATATAAGCTTGATCCACCACCTGTTCTCTTTAGAAAGATGAAAAGCATTTGAAACCCTCTCGTCACAAGACAGATATATAACTTATATTTTTCCTCTAAGGAAATTTTAATAACAGGGTTACATAAGGCAATTATGTCAGAGAGCTTGAGAGTTTTGTGGTGAAAGTTTAAACATTGACAGGATCCCAGCTGATGGGTCTGTGCAACTGATTTGTTTTAAAATCATTGTGCTGTGTAGTAAATGCTGAGAACTGAAATCCTAAAACCTGCACCACAGTATCAGATTTCCAGTCTTCTGATACAACCAAATGTTCTCACTAAAAAAAAAAAAAAAAAAAAGCTATTACTGCTGCACAGTATGTTCACTCCTTGGCTTTTAAAATGATTCATAGCTGTGTGTTCAAGTCTCTTTTCCAAGTGCCATTGCTATCTCTAATATGTTTGTATCGCTCAAAGGATGCAAGTGGAGAACTCTGAAAAAGTGATATTAGAAAGGGGGACACTACTAGCTATGCATCGTCTTCCATCACTGAACCTTCTTAGACAATGCAAGAGCAGCTTCATTCTCTTTTTGTAGCTCCTCCCTCCACCTGGCTTTTTTCTCCAGATTCATACTTGTCAGAGTCTCGTTCCTGGCAGCAGCCTGCAGAAACAGGGCAAAAGACAGGTGACACACTAACATTTAACCTGAAATACCTAAGTAACAATGTGGTTAATTCATCAGATAACTAAGACAATTGCAAGGAAAAGTGAAAAGACAAAAATAGTTATTTTTGATGTGACAAAAATCACATCACTGTAAACCCCAACTCACATTTCTCTCCTTGTATAAAGTGGGGAAAAGAAACACATGCACTCATTTATTTTGACTCACCCGTTTGCCCAGGGTAACCATCAACATACAGGTCCCGAGTGTGGCTACTATCATGATGTAGCAGACTTTCACTCTCATTTTGTTCCTGGCACCATCAATCATCTCATACCTGCGGCAAAGGCAGATGTATGAATAATTGTACATCAGTGTTTAAGGATAATCACCTTTATTTGGCCAAGTATGTTACACACAATGAATTTGTTTCCGGTACAGAATGGATATAATCTTTGTTGATATTTTGTGGTGTTTTTAAAGCCACTCTACCTAATTTCTTTTTAGGTGCTAGAAGGTCTAGTGAGACTCAAACAAATTGTTACAATGAGTAAATTTTAACTGCTCTTTGCCCCTCCCATCACACCTTGTTTCCTAGCATCAACGTAAACTACAGACAAACTACAAAATGCAGCTTCCAGTCCAAAGCTAGTGTTAGCTGACTATTGCAGAAATCAGTCTGGCCAGTAGAATGCTCTGGTTACTGCTGATGTCACAGGAAGCACTAACGTTACACAAAACTCTTAATGACTCCTAAATTAAAATCAAATGAATTCAATACAAAGGTAAAATCAAGGCCATGCTAGGTCGCTAATGTTAGCAAAACAAACACATTAGCTTTAGACGTCAATGCATCCAGAAGGACGAATGCTGCATCTGAAACACATTTCAGTCCTTGGGCTGCCTTTAATGCTCTCCATCTCAAAATGCTCCTTATAACCTTAGCTAGGTGGCAGGTGGAACCGTACTTTGACCACATAGGGTAGAGAAGCTGAAATAACAGCAGAAGCGCTGTAGGCAGCAGTGTCATGGAAGAGGGATGTATAGTGTAGAAGCACGGCCTGTCCAATTTTCACTTGATTTATCAAATATTAGTTGAGGGACCTTTAACCTCAGCACAATATCAAAAGTGAAATGCATGTTCCTTCATACATTACTAGTGTCAGTGTTTATCAGCTATTTGTGCTTCTCTCAGTCTCTTATGTCAGCATTTATTAATTTCAACAATTCAGTCTGATGCTCCAGTCATTCACACATTTTTTTGCCTTGGTTCATTGTTAGTACAGGGGGTCTGCAGTTTGTGTGCGTGCCAGTTAGGCCTTAATCCCAACAGCAAATCAAATTTCATTTCTACCCTGATGTCAGTAATTTCCTGCAGCTACACCCAAACACCCTGTTTGAACTGCAGACATCTTGGAGAACCAGTTACCCACAGCACCACCACTCACCCATTTAGTTTGCTTTGTTCTTGTGATGTAATTTAACTAAATCACAGACATGCAGCAACACAGTCAGACACTACTGTACTGGGAGGTCTGGTATAACTAGGAAGAGGCTACTTACGACACAAACTCTGGTATCTGTTCCTTGGTCTTAAAACGTCCTGTCCAGAGCAGGAACTTCCTGTCCATTGATGAGGGTTTGTAGCCTGGGAGTTTGAACGCAGGACGTGGTGCTGAATGACATAATAAAGCACATGCAAATAAAGAACAAACAGAGTGTAAACAGTGAATGCAGATTCACAAGCCCCAGTCATTAGCTTCATCACCCTAAACTCTGACCCCACATCCTGTGTCCCTTTTTCCTTTGGGACATTAGAAAACTTTCACACACTTGCTATAGTAATAACATGATTTATGGTGGACTTGTTTTGAGATACAAATTAAGATATCAATTTATAAAATTATGAATTTAGTTTAGTAATGTCTGTAATAATAACAGATAGATATAGGCATAGAAAAAGGTGAATGGTAAAACTGTCCAAGCTGTCCAGGGTAAACCTCACAGTTCACAGGCCTCCTTGTTCAGGAGTGACCAGTCTAATTTGTCCAGTGTTTCTCGCAAGAAATTTGTTAGCAGATGTGAAGCAGATGTGAGTGGGGCTGCCTCCACAATAAAAGCTTGTAGGAAACCTGCTTTCTGTAGCTGTCCATACATAGTTTTTCTAAGCAATCACGTATTAATAGCAACATTTATGGCCTTGGTTTGGAACTGAAGAGAGTATACTAATGATTTAAAACTACCATGTGATGGGGTTGCAATCTCTGCTTTGGCCTCCTGTGGTTTAGTGCACATCCCTCTGTGTTTCCATGTCTCAGTGACCTGTCTGCACCGCTGACCTGTTGATATATAAAAGCACGTAGAAAACATGAGCGTATCACAATTTAACAATGTCTCTGCCACCCACTTGGCCAGGTCACTCTTGAAAAAGAGATTTTAATGTCAATGACGCATTTACCTGGTTAAATAAAGAATAAATAAAAGAGCTGCAATCATGGGGATTATTTTCATTATCCATTTATCTACATACCATTTTACCAGAGAATGTTTATCTACAGTTAACTGTCGATATGTAACCATTCGAAGCACTGTTGGGTACAAAAATGACAAAATGTATTAACCTGACCTAACACTAGCATGTTAATGCATTCTAGTCTAGTAGCGTCTGCTAATTTAACGATGCAGTTATCACAACGTTACAAAAACAAGTGGGAGATGAGATGGTTATTAATCAAAAGCCACACAGAAATTGAAACTTGACCATACGAACCTAGGAAGTTACCAATGGAAAGGCGAAATCTGAGGAAATTCATGATTTTTGATGACGTAAATAAAATTCAGCGAGTCTATAAATGATTTAAAAGGAGTCACAACACGTCCAGTACGTTATGTACTGGTGAAAGTCAAGTACCAGCTACTAAAAGGACCCGGTGTTGTGCCGAAAAAGGTCCCCCCAGTCGAGATGTATTTCCTCTGTTCAAAACTCGGTTTCATGTAGCGCCCCCTCAGTGGTTGTTGTAAGAATAATGTTAGGATCCTGGTTAGGAGACTCACATCTCAATGGGGAAACAAATTTCGACACAACACCAGTAGAAAAGAAAAGGCGCCCGTGTAGTTTGCCTGATCAAATTTCCATGGCTAGGGTTATAGCTAACTTGCAGAGGTGGAAGAAATACTCAGACTCTTAAGAAAATCGCAGATTAGACAATGAATTTCAACTGAATATTGGGGGAGCTAAAATAGAACGAGTACATGAAATTAAATTTCTAGGTGTCATAGTTGATGACAAATTCTCCTGGAAATCGCATATCAGATATGTTCAGAACAAAATAGCAAAAAGTTAAAATTGTTTGATTTAGTGGGATATCAGACTGCTGTGTTTATGTATAAAGCCAGGAACAATTTATTACCTGGTGGAATTCAAAAACTATTTAATGAAAGGGAAGGGGGATACAATTTAAGGGGTCAGTTAAATTTAAAAATTCATGCTATACGTACAACCAAAAAAAGATTTTGTATTTCCATAAGTGGGGTAAAACTATGGAATAAATTAAGTGTGGACATAAAAAACTGTAATAGAATTGACGAGTTCAAACGTAAATATAAAGGTATGTGTCAATCAAGATATATGCAAGAACAGGCTCAATGATTAACTACATGGACTATTGTGGGTGTGGTGTATATTTTGTAACCATTCTTTAATACATCACTGGTGTGATGTAGGAATGTTAACACTGTTATATTCTTTTTTAGTATAATATGTGTGTGTGTAGAAGTTAATCATTTACTGCTTGCAAACCAATGATGGTAAGATGATGTCATGGGGTAGGACTGGATAAGTCTGACTTCTTCCTACTCCATTCAAGCATGTACTTGGTATTAGCAAATTGATATTGGATTGTGTGTAAAAACGGTTTTTTTATATGCTTGAAAGAATAAATCAAATCAAATCAAATCAAAATGTAGCAGTACCACAGTGTAAAAATAGTCTGCTACAAGTAAAACCCCTGGCTTTAAAATATTACAGAACAAAAGCATTAACATCAAAATATAGGCGTACTTAAAGTGCCAAAAATAAAAATACTCATTACTGCATAATGACATCATTTAATTACGGATGCATTATTGTGTACATAACGTGTAGCTGCACATAAATGCTGCAGCTGATAAGGTTACGTAAATTGTAATTTAAATAGAGACATTCACCTTTTAACTGGGAGTTATTCAGCGATAAACCTAATGGCATTAGGAATCAATGTGATAAATACATAAACTTTAATTTGATTATATAATTTACTGAACTTCTCCGAAGTGGATTTTATTCAGGCCCTCACTTGAACAGTCCCCTCGCTTCGTGTCTGCGCAGGACCCTGCAGTCCACTATGGCGGCGCCCGGGGTAACTTTAAACTGTGAGGACTTTTCAATGTTTCAGGTAAATTTTACTCATAGCTAATTTGTTTGTGTGACCCGAATCATTATCTGCCGGTAGATCACACGACGTGCGGTGTATTTTTCAAGCACCCCAGTGAATGAGTGACCCTCCGGATCACTAATGCCCCTACTGTGCACTCTGCAAGAGCTCAAGGAGCCAGGCTGGATCAGCATGATTGCGTCTGGCAGCATATGGCTTAAGGGTTACTTGTCACAGATCTCCAGGGGCCTGTGGTAGATGTACTCCTTAAGATGTGTAAGGGTGATATTTAAGGCTCTTCGGACAGTATAACTAATGGCATACTCATATTTCTAGAGGCAAAAAGACAACTTAAGTTGGTGTTAAA